CGCGTGACCTTGGACAAGCGAATAGCTTTCCCGAGCCTCAGTTTCCTCATCTGCGAAATAGGAATAGTATAATTTGAGAGCTGTCGGCCGGCTCTAATGACATAATGGCGGAGAAAGCATCAGGGCCCTGCTGGCACTTAGTAAGCTGGTAAATGTTTGTTTGTTTGTTCTAGCCTACTGTTACTAGTTTGTCATTCTTCCTGGCTCCTCTGGGCAAGGACTTTCTCTTCTCTCTCATTCAGAGCTCAGCTCATAGCCCCTCTGCGGCTGACCTGCTCCCCTGCCCAACACGGGTCCCCAACTCCGCCTCCTCTCACTCCCAGCCCAGTTCCTACATCTGGCTTCAGTCTGGGGGGGCAGGCAGGGGCTTAAAAACTGCTGTAATTGGGGTCAATATTTCGGTGCCTATTTACTTGACCAGGGAGGAGGGCTCAGGGTGGCACCGTGCCAAGCAAAGAAGGCTCCAGAGATGGGCACAGTCAGTCGGGCTCCTGGCGCTCCCCTCTGCCAGTCCCCGGCAGGGTCTGAGTCTGTGGGGACGGAGCCCCATTCCTCTCCCAGGTAGGCTGTAGACCGCTCGACTCTGGGGATCTGAGAGACGTCAGACCGATCCAATGCTTGGTCGTGGCCACCAACTCTAAAAGGTCATAACCCACCCTAAAGGAAGTTACATATTTGTCCAATTATCTGCAGAGGAAACCAGCATGCAGTCAGCAGCATTAAAGAGAAACATGCAAATCAGCCTTGGCTTCCTTTGCTTTTAAATATGAGTTATTATTGTGCAAAGGGTAATTAAATCCTGGAATTCCAGAGGTCATCGTGACTAGTAGCACCTGCCTTGGGGTGCCAGGCACCCCCTTTCCAGGGTGCACGGCTGTCCCCTTTCTTGCCTTTTCCAACATGCACGTGCCTGGCTCCCTCTGCTCGAAGCTTGCCCCAGAAGCCGAGCTCCTTGGCCCAGCCTGCTTTGGTGGGAGTTTCAGCCCAACCTTAGCTGTGCCCTCTCCGTGGTCTTGTGCGTCTGCTCCCGGCGTCAGCGGGGATTCTCAGCTGCGTGCTGGCTTCAGGGCTGTGAAGTTCTGCGCCCGCTTTGTCCACGGAAACTCAGTAGTGTGAGGGTCTCTCCCTCGGGGTCTCCCTCGCAAGAGGAAATGAATTTACCCCAAAGTGTGGAGGAGTGAAACTAGGCTTATATAAGGGGGTCCTTGGCACGTGCTTGGACCCCTTCTGGGGTTTGATGGCTGGCTGGAGTGGACTTCAGTGCTCTTACAGCCGTTGAGGAGTTTAGTGGCCTTTGTCCACGCTGCTAGCTAAATGCATTTAAGTCCAGCGGGACTGGAGAGCTCACGCTGCACTGTGCCTGCTAAGAAAACGGCCTGAGGGGAGGGGCTGAAAGGTTGGGCGGCCAGAGCACACGGTGGTCCCCAGTGTCAGTGCTGACCTCTCACCTGGCCCCTGGAGGCATTTTCTTATTTCTGGACCCGAGGACGGAGAACTAGTCTGAAGCGCGAGAGTTCAGACCCCATCAAGGACAGACGTCCCCGTGGAGAGGGTCAACAGTTACGGGTGCTGGGAGAGAGGCGGGTCTCCACTCTGGACTGCATCTTCTGGAAACGACGGCCTTACCCGCTTTCTCTCTCACCCACCAGTCTATTGATGCAAAGCTGGTGTTCTGTCTTCATTGTCTTGTCTCTTTTCTACTCCCCAGTAGGTCCCGGGAGTGAATTAAAGGCAGGGGACAAACCCCCCCTGGGAGCCAGGCGTGGAGCATGCAGGAGGCCACTGCGGGGCCCAGGCAGGGCAGCCTGCCCAGGGGCCTCCATTCAAGCTACAGGGCATCTGGCTCTAACGGGGGAACACCGTCTCCCAGGGCCTTGGTGGGACAGTGACCCCCAGCTCAGGGCCTTTGGATCAGAGGTGAAAGCAGAGTCCAAGGAGAGGGTGGCATTTTGGTTCTAAAATACAGTCAAAACTGGGTTATCCAGATGTGTGTGAAGCATTCGTACCTAGTAAGTGGCTGGCACCCACCCACGGCTGCTGTTCCCCTGTAATGTCCTCGGGCCACCCACGGGCCTCTCAGCTAGCCATCCCCAGCCCTGCCCCAAACTGCCTTTCCAGATCTGGGGGCCGTGGCCTCTTGCACCCCGCTGCCCCCCTGGCTGGGACCTTCAAGCCTACCCCTCAGTCCTGGCTCAGAGCTTCTCAGGGATCTTCTGAAAAGAGCCCCAGGAAGCAGAACTTTTAACCAGACTGGAGCGCAAGACCTGGTGCGTACGGCCTGCTTGAGATTGAGATTCTGCTCGGCGGGGTGGGAATCCTGAAGGCCATGGAGGTGGACGGGCCAGTTGGGTTGGTACAAAGGCCGCGAGTGGACTTTCTGTGCTATCACAGCCGCTGTTGGGGGGCTGCGTGGAGCGCTGAGGGGAGGGGGAGGGAAGAGGGGGAGTCCTCTGAAAAACTTCTGAATCAAGGCACCACATGCGTGTCTGTGTCCCCAGGAGGTTAACTGTGCCTGCGTGGGCAGGGAGACTTGGGGCCCAGTGGCCACTGCGGGGCGAGAGACCTGCTACCTGCAGAGCTCGCGCCAGGAAGGGGAATGGCAGGGAGGGTCCTAGTCGCCTCTCCTTTCTGTCCCAGGCCAGACTGTGTGCGAGGGGGCCGAGGGACGCATGAGGGCGGTGGAGAAGGCTGCTGAGTGTGCGCGCCTGTGCGGAGGGACAAGCGTGAGCTGACTCTGAATGGTGACATGAGTGGTCTTTCACCTCATAGGAAGGGGCAGTCACCCCAACCTGTCTCCAGAACCCTCAGCCTTTGCTGAAAGGCAGCCGGGATCTGGACTGAGGTCAGGCCAGCGATGATGATGCCAACTATACTGCCGAGGCCGAGAGCTGGTACCGCCGCCAGGTGGCCGCCCAGGACACCGGCCTCCCCCACTGGCACTGGGGGCAGGGGGCTGGGGGCCAGGCTAGAAAGG